TCACAGACTAGTTAAGAAACAGCCTGACATATACATACTCACAGAATCATACCTTACAATGTCCCAGACACCACCATCACCATCCCTGGAAATGTCCTGTTCCACCGGCAGGACAGGCCCAGCAGAGGTGGCAGTACAGTGGTATACAGTCGGGAGGGTGTTGCTCTAGGAGTCCTCAACATTGACTCCAGACCCCATGAAGTCTCATGGGTTCAGGTTAAATGTGGGCAAGGAAAGTTCCTGATGATTACCACATACCACCCTCCCTCAGCTGATGAATCAGTACACCTCATTGTTGAACAACATTTAGAGGAAGCACTGAAGATGGCAAGGGCACAAAATGTACCCTGGGTAGGGGATTTCAATGCCCGCCACCAAGAGTGGCTCGGCAGCAGTACTACTGATCGAGCTGGTTGGGTCGTAAAGGACACAGCTGCTAGACTGGGTCTGCAGCAGGTGGTAAGGAAACCAACAAGAGGGAAAAACATACTTGATTTCATCCTTACTAATCTGCCAGCTGTAGTAGCAGCTGTCCATGACAGTATCGGTAAGAGTGGCCTTTGCACAGTCCTTGTGGAGACGAAGTCCCGCCTTCACATTGAGAACAACCTCCATTGTGTTGTGTGGTACTATCACTGTGCTAAATGGGACAGACTTCGCACAGATCCAACAACTCAAGACTGGGCATCCATGAGGCGCTGTGGGCCGTCAACAGCAGCAGAACTGTACTCCAGCACAATCTGTAACCTCCTGGCCCAGCATATCCCCCACTCAACCATTACCATCAAGCCAGGGGATCAACCCTGGTTCAATGGAGAGTGCAAAGGGGCATGCCAGGAGCAATACCAGGCATACCTGAAGCTGAGGTATCAACCTGGTGAAGCCACCAAACAGGACTACTTGCATGCCAAACAGCACAGGCAGCAAGTGATAGACGGAGTTAAGGGTTCCCACAACCAACGGATCAGATCTAAGCTCTGCAGTCCTCCCGTTCCAGTCGTGAATAGTGGTGGACAATTAAGCAACTCACTGGAGGAGGAGGTTCCACAAATATCCCCACCCTCACTGATGGAAGAGCTCAGCTCATCAGTGAAAAAGATAAGCCTGAAGCATTCGCAGCAATCTTCAGCCAGAAGTGCTGAATGGATAATCCATTTCGGCCTTCTCCAGTGGTCCCCAGCAATACAGATACCAGTCTTCAGCCAATTCGATTCACTCCACGTGATATCAAGAAATGGTTGGAGACATTGGATACTGCAAAGGCTACGGACCCTGACAACATTCTGGCAATAGTACTGAAGACTTGTGCTCCAGAAGTTGCCGCTCCCCTAGCCAAGCTGTTCCAGTACAGTTACAACACTGGTATCTACCCGATAATGTGGAAAATTGCCCAAGTATGTCCTGTACACAATAAGCAGGACAAATCCAACCTGGCCAGTTACCGCCCCATCAGTCTATTCTCGATCATCAGTAAAGTGATGGAAGGTGTCATCAACAGTGCTATTAAGCAGCACCTGCTCAGAAATAACCTGCTCAGTGTCGCCCAGTTTAGGTTCCACCAGGGCCACTCAGATCCTGATCTCATTACAGCCTTGGTTCAAACTTGGACAAAATGAATTCCAGAGGTAAGGTGAGAGTGACAGCCCTGTATATCAAGGCTGCATTCAACTGAGTGTATGGCATCAAGGAGCCCTAGCAAAACTGGAATCAATGGTATCAGGGGGCAAACTCTCCAGCACTTGGAGTCATACCTGACACATAGGAAGATGGTTGTGGTTGTTGGCGGTCAATCATCTCAGCTCCAGGAGTTCCTCAGGGTACAGTCCCAGGCCCAACCATCATCAGCTGCTTCATCAATGACCTTCCCTCCATTATAAGGTCAGAAGTGGGGATGTTCGCCGATGATTGCAAAACATTCAGCACCATTCGTGACTCCTCAGATACTGAAACAGTCCATGTTCACCTGCAACAAGATCTGGACAATATCCAGGCTTGAGGTGACAAGTGGCAAGTGATATTCGTGCCACACAAATGCCAGGCTGTGACCATCACCAATAAGAGACAATCTAACCACCATCCCTTGATATTCAACAGTGTTACCATCACTGAATCCCCCACTATCAACATCCTGGGGGTTATCATTGATCAGAAACTCAACTGGACTCAACATATTAACACAGTGGCTACAAGAGCAGGCCAGAAGCTAGGAATACTGCGGCGAGTAACTCACCTCCTGACTCCTCAAAGCCTGTCCGCCATCTACCAAGGCACAAGTCAGGAGTGTAATGGAATACTCCCCATTTGCCTGGATGAGTGCAGTCCCAACAACACTCAAGAAGCCTGACACCACCCAGGACAAAGCAGCCCGCTTGATTGGCACTACATCCACAAGTATTCACTCTCTCCACCTTTGATGCTCAGTAGCAACAGTATGTACTATCTACAGGATGCATTGCAGAAATTCAAAGATCCTCAGACAGCACCTTCCAAATCCACGACCACTTTCATCTGGAAGGGCAAGGGCATCAGACATATGGGAACCCCACCACCTCCAAGTTCCTCTCCAAGTCACTCACCATCCTGACTTGGAAATATATCGCCATTCCTTCACTGTCACTGGGTCAAATTCCTGGAATTCCCTCCCTAATAGCATTGTGGGTCAACCCACAGCAGGATGACTGCAGCAGTTCAAGAAGGCAGCTCACCACCGCCTTCTCAAGGCCAGCTAGGGATGGACAAGAAATGCTGGCCAGCCAGCAACGCCCACATCTCACAAATGAATTAAAAAAACAACTGAAACGTTAACTCTGATTTCTCTTTACAGATTCTGCCAGACCTGCTGAGCTTTTCCAGCAACTTCTGTTTTCATTCCTGACTTAGAGCATCCACAGTTCTTTTGGTTTTTACAGGCCAGTTAGCCTGATCTCAGTCGTTGGTAAGATTTTAGAGTCCATTATGAGGGATGAGATTGTGGAATACTTAGAAGTGCATGGTAAAATAGGTCTGAGTCAGCACAGTTTTGTCAAAGGAAATTTATGCCTGACAAATCTGTTAGAATTCTTTGAGGAGGTAATGAGCAAGTTAGACAAAGAAAAGCTAGTGAATATAGAGTCATAGAGATGCACAGCAGTGAAACAGACGATTCAGTCCAATTTGTCCATGCTGACCAGAGATTCTGAATAAATCTAGTCCAATTTGACAGCATTTGGCCCATATCCCTCTAAACCCTTCCTATTCATATACCCATCCAGATGCCTTTTAAATGTTGTAATTGTATCAGCCTCCACCACTTCCACTGGTAGTTCATTTCATACATGCACCACCCTCTGCATGAAAAAATTGCTGCTTAGGTCCCTTTTAAACCTTTCCCCTCTCACCTTGAACCTAAGACCACTAGTTTTGGACTCCCCTACCCTGGGGAAAATGATCCATGTGGATTTCTAGGAGGCCTTTAACAAGGTACCAAACAGGAGGCTGCTAAATGAGAGAACAGCGCATGGTGTTAGGGGCAGGATACTGGCATGGATAGAAGATTGGCTGACTGGAAGAAGACAGAGAGTGGGGATAAAATGGGCATTTTCAGGAAGGTAACTGGTGACTAGTGGATTTCTGCAGGGATTGGTACTGGGACCACAACTATTCACATTATACATTAACAATGAGGACGAAGGAACCGAGGACATTGTTGTAGGTAACATTAAAGATAGTTGGAGGAATAGGTAGTGTTGAGAAAGTGGGGAGACTGTAGAAGGTCTTTGGCAAGCTTGGACAGCGGGCAAAGAAGCAGCAGATGTAGGAAAGTGTGAGGTTATGCACTTTAGTGGGAAGAATAGAGGCCTAGACTATTTTCTAAATGGAGAAAGAGTTTGGAAATCTGAAGCACAAAAGGATTTAGGAGTCCTAGTTCAGGATTTTCTTAAGATTAGCATGCAAGTTCAGTTGGCATTTAGGAAGGCAAATGCACTGTGAGTAATCATTTTAAGAGAATAAAGAGTGGGATGTACTGCTGAGGCTATAAAAGACTGGTCCAACTGCATTTAGAATATTGTGAGCAGTTTGGGCCCCATATCTAAGGAAGGCTACACTGGTATTGGAGGGGTTCCAAAGGAGGTTTACTAGAATGATCCTGGAGATGAAGGACTTGTCAAGAAGAGTGGTCATCGACTTTAGGTCTGTGATGGTAGGGTCTCATTGAAATTTACAGAACACTGAGAGGCCTGTATAGTGAGGATATGGAGAAGGTATTTCCATGAGGAGAAGAGATTAGGATCCGAGAGCACAACCTCAGAGTGAAAGGACAGCCCTTTAAAACTGAAATTAGGAGGAATTTCTTCTGTGGAACTCATTGCTGCAGAAGGCTGTGGAGGCCAAGCCATTACTGAATTTAAGGCAGAGATCAGTAAGTTCTTGATTGGAAAGGGTATCAAGGATTATGGGGAGAATAAGGTTGAGAAACATATCAGCCATGATTGAATGGCAGTGCAGACTCAATGAGCTGAATGGCCTAATTCTGCTCCTATAACATATAGTCTTAATATGTCACGCAGGGAATATATTTATATAACAATTAATGCCTAGCTATTTAAAATAATAATGAACATTATCTTTTAGCCACAACTAATAGAGAATTTAAGGAAAAAAAGAATCTTATGAACTTCAGTAACGATATTATCCACATTATTCATACATACCTGACCTGATGGAGACTATCAGCACCTTCTCTTTGTATTGAAAATGGAAAGCTGCATGCGCAAAGTCTTCAGGTGTGGATCTCCAGGTGAGAAGGGGTATTGCTGAACTACAGATCCCAGCATCCATAGCGCAGCGTGGTGCAGGCTGGGAGGTGGTCTGATCATGGGTATTGTGCCCGTGGGGCGGAGGACTACAGGTTCCAGAATCCCTCAGTGCCGCGCGTGTTTTGCTGGGTAAAGCGGCCAGGTGAGAGTCGGTGAGTGTTTCGGTAACGGATGAACTCGAGTGCTCATGTCCACTGGGGGTGGAGGGGATCGACCTCTTGTCTATATCCGTGGTGGGTTTAGGAGCCAGTGGGGAGTATCTGAGGCCGGTGTGACTGTGTGTGGGCCGGAGAGCCGTTCCCTTGGTAAATGGGTCATAGCGACATGGAGGTTAGGGACATGACCTGGGTTGGGGGGGTGCTGTGAGTGCGGGCAAGGCCTATTCCCTGATATCCCAGAGTGAACCATGCCAATTACTGACTCCATTTTCAATTTTTAAAAAGGGAGGACCTGGAAAAGAATGAGTTACGGCAGGAAAGGGCTGTGTCAATTCGAAGTAGAGTCATAAGATGAAACAAACACAGGACGGGCCTTCACTGTTGCCCTATTGCTAGAGTTGCGCTCGGTCCCCATAACCCTTGTTATTTGTCTCAAGTCTTTAGTCTTCGTTAACGCCTGGTTGCTGAGTCTGCTTTTACTCTTGCGGCTTGTGCGTTCCAGATCTCTGTCAATTTCTCGGTGAAAGAAAAGTTTCCGCTTGTTCTTTTGCCATTATCTGTCTCATCGATTTTATTAACCTTAAGTTTTTTGAACTTTTGGGAACTCCGCGGCTATTAGAAACAGGCCGGATAGTGGAGCTGGAGTTCGGGCCAGCATCAGATCAACCATCTGATCTTATCGAATGGCAGAGCCGGCTTAATGGGATAAGTAGAAACCGAAAGAATTGCGGATGCTGGAAATTAGAAACAAAAACAGAAATTGCTGGAAAAGAACTGAGGCAGGGTACTGAACCCAAAATGTTAACTGTGATTTCTCTCCACAAAAATCTGCTGAGCTTTTCCAGCTATTTCTATTGATGGAATAAGTTTTCTCTGTGCTCCTGCTTCTCATGTCTGCCACTGAAAAATGTTTCTCCTTCTTTCCTTTGTCAAAGCCTTCATAATTTTGAGCATTTCAATCAAATCTGGTCTTGATCTCTACTGCAGAGAACAACTGCAGTTTCACAAGTGTATGCACATCCCTGAAATCCTTCATTTGTTACAATTTTTGTGTTTTGACAGATAATGCAGTGTGAGAACTGTCTAAAAGAAATTGCTAAGAATTGTTAACAATCTGGCTCCTACACTGCATATTGTTATCTTCTGACAGGTAAGATCTTTCCTATCAAACATGACACTATCATACTGCTTTGAGAGGCCAAAGTATTAAGTCAGAATTTACAATCAGAGTAGTAGTGAGGCTAATGGCATAAGCTTTTGTTAATGAGAAATGGGATTGTGATTTCAGGCGAGAAGCAGATGTGTGATCAAATGTTTAGATATAAAAGATGCTGTTTCAATGGTGCAATTTTTAAGAAGAATAAGACAGGTTGTTTTTCTTCTCCAAATACTGAATCTTCTGCACTGTCATGATGTCATGTATTCCTTGTATCCACTCAAAATTTTTCCAGGTCATTTTATTTCCTAATGAGAGGTTATACAGTGTACATATGCCTTTGGTTCCACTGGTTTTGTCTCACTTGACCCAATCTTTCTGTTGTCATTTTCTCTAACTAATTTGACTTTTAATTCCCCCTTCTGTGTTTATTTTTCCAGCCATTCCATAAACATTTAAATTTATCAAATGCCCTTTTCCTTCAAGTCTACAATGTCCTATTGTCTTTGTGTTTCTATCATTTCACACTTTTCAGTACCTTTTATGCACAAAACATTTTTGAACTGAAGATTCCAAGGAAGAATCTCACTTATGGCAGAGGGTGTTCATATCCTGTTACAACACATTCTGCCCTTATTTTATGTATTGTGATATCCTGTTACATTCTCTTAAATTAGTTAGTTTATTTTACATGGATTGAAAGGATCAATGTGATGCCCTGGAATTTCCCTATGCTGTGATAACATTTATGGTTTCCAAGAGATTGACCCAGTTCAAGATGTTTCTTCTTGACTGATGTATTGATTGCTGAGGGACTTCCCAGAAGAGTACTGGTTTAATGTGTGATGAAGTAAGTTGTGGAGCAAGTTATGCTTTACACAGGTTGGATTATTATTATACACTGAAACTTTTTTTTGAAATGCTTTATTATGTGTATTCTTATTTAACGGAGGAAAGCTCTTATTAGAAGGCCCAGAAGATTTGTATTGCATTGCTTGTTTGTAAATGATGACAGTGATTACCTGTTTTGGGAAAGGAAATACCCACTGATATAGAGATAACACTGTTGTGGCAGGGGATAATTAGATCGAATTACATCTATATATTCTACATAGCACACAAACATCTACTCTGGGCTTGTCTTTATATGCTACACAAGTTGCCTCCCATTCCTTTTACCCCAGTCTTTCGGCATACCTTTCTGTTCCTTTTTCTCTGCTATACCCTTCTAGTTTCCTTTTGAAAGTGTTAAAGCTAATTGCACCAACCACTTTCTGTGATAGAAAGTTCTGCATTCTAGCTACTAATTAATAATACTTCTCCTTATTTCCCTGTTGGATTTATCAGTTTCAATCTTTTATGGCCCCAGTTTTGTTTTCCCACAATTAGAAACTTTCTCTGTGCATCTACCTTGTTCAGTCCATATTAAAGATCTTTATCAGATCACCTCTAAGTGGTATTCTCAAAAGAAAAATACCCTAATCAGTTCAATTTTCTCTTGTTGTCATAGTCTTTCAAGTCTGGCACCTTCCTCACAAATTCTTTTTTGTATTTTCTCTAATGATTCTGTTCTTTTTATAAAGCTAACTGTCCACATTGTTCTTGTGTTACCTGACTGAGGTCCTTTAGGATTTGAATGTTACTTCATTACTTCTGAATTCCAAATTCTAGAAATGAATCTCTGTGCTTTATCAGCATTTTTAATTGCTCCATTGACATGCAGTGCTTTCTGTGTCCCAAATCCATTGCTCTCCTCGTTCGGTTTATTTTTAAAGCTGTAGGTGATATTTCTATTTTTTAACCAAACTCATATTTATTTAATTTAAAGTTAATTGGTCAATTAGTTATCTAGTCTGAAGATTTTCTAACTAATATTATACATAGTGTTATCTAGACCCCCTTATTTGGTAGAGTCCAAAATGACCTAGGAAAGTTGGTTATTAATGTTGGTGTGCACCTCTAATTTCTGCCAACATAATTCAATCTAAATGATTGAATATTCTTCCCTCGTCCTGAAAGTAAAAATTCCCCAAAGTTTTCAAAAGAGTATGTGAGGTCTCTGCCAATGGTCTTTTGTTTTAAATGGCTGTAGAAATATGATTCAAACCAGAGATTTCCAGCTTCTGTGTCCAGTTACTGATAAATTAGCAAGTAACTAAAGGGTAGTATAAGAGTCATACAGCATGGAAACTGACCTTTCGATCCAACTTGTCCATGCTGACCAGACATCCCAATCTGACCTAGTACCGTTTGCCAACATTTGGCCCATATCCCTCTAAACCCTTCCTATTCATATACCCATTCAGATGCCTTTTAAATAGCATAATTGTACCTGCCTCTACCACTTCCTCCGGCAGCTCGTTCCATACCTCTGCGTGAAGAAGTTGCCCCTCTGATTCTTTTTAAATCTTTCCCCTCTAAAACTATGCCTTCTAGTTTTGGATTCCCCTACCCTGGGAAAAATACTTTTATATCTTTTCTGCACCCTCTCAAGTTTAACAAGATCTTTCCTACAGAAGGGCCTCCAGAATTGTACACCATATTCTAAAAGTGACCTCACCAATGTTCTGTACCGCTGCAACATGATGTTCATTTCTCAACCCTTTTCCCTGCTTTTTGAGATGGTACTTAAAGCCCATCTCTGACCAACCTATTGTTTCACTTGTTCTAAAATCTGTGGTTCAGTGTCAAATTTAGTTTGGTAGAGGCTTTTGTGAAGTGTCATTGCTGGTTTTGTACATTAAAGTCATCATGTAAATGGAAGTAGTTATGATAGAATATACACTATTTGTATGAATGAAAGTAGGAACACTCTAGCTTGACACCTCCAGAGCAGTTTGCTTGAATCTAGCATGTATCACCAGACTTAGTTCCACCCTTTTCACCATAGGCACACTGTGATTGGTGTATGTAGAACGCATAAGACACATTACAGCAACTCATCTGTTGGGGCACACACGTTTGTGGATTATGAGGATTGGAAACTGAAATTTGGACAATTCTTGGTTTGCAGAGCGTTTACTATGTGATTTCTTGGAACTGTAAAATCAAAAGATCAGAAGGACTGGTGATTGTCTACTATTTGTGAATGCTATGAGAGTTTGAGATAAAAGCTTTCAGAGTGCTAAGACATTGTCTATGATCTTAATTGCTAGACAAGAAAACTGAGTTTTTAAAGGGACCTAGTGCTGAAGGTTGCCTAGCAACAGCCTCCGGACATTTGGGTTTTGTTTTGCCTCAGACACGTGGGTTGTTGAGTTGTAGATAGGCTTGCAAGGAAGCAATACTATCTTTCTATCTCTCACTGTCTCAATGAGTAAAAGATAACCCTTAAGAAATATTCATTCAATTGGTGTTCTTTAAATATTTCCTGAGAATTCAGAAAGATCCAGTAATCAATATCTTTGATCTTAGCAGAAGTCCTGAAAGCTTAACTGTTAACTCAATCGTGACAACTAGTTGACCTGCTACTTGAACTGAGGGTCTTTTATCATTCTGCAGCTTACAGTAATGTAATTTCACTAACAAAATCAAATGACCTGTGAGGAAGTCACCTCATTCTACCCTTTTAGTTTGGACTTTTGATCAACTTCTTTTTCCCCCCCTATTTTTCCACTAAATTTAAACATTGCCACAAAGAGACAAGAAGTCAAAGCATTTGGCCTTGTACTTCTCAGAACTATGCTTCAAGAAGCATACTTGACAAAAGGGAAACCGTTAGATACAACATGAGAAAAAAATGCTGATTTTGTTTTGGGCCATCATTAGCATGAAGCTACAGCAAGAACAGTTAATGATCAATCTTAATTCTCAGACCAGGTAGGTAGATTCTAGTTGGTCAGATGTTGCCATGGAGGAGTATCAGAGATTGGCTGTCTCCATGACTCCTTTTCAGAAAGGTGCAATGTCTGCAGAGATTCCTTTTGCCTACATAAAACATGGTCTTGTGAGTATATGTATGTATATTGCTTCAAGCAGACAAATGCATCACATTGAGTCGAAATGATAATCTTAAATTGGTTTCTGGTTTAACTTATTAACGCAGTCCTCATTATTTAATAAATGATTTCCAATAGCATGATCATGTTTAATGGTGGATATACTTTTCTGAGACTTGCGAGCATAGGTTAGTTGAGCATGATCAGCATGCTGCCTGCTGCACATGGATAATGGGACTTGTTGTACGATATAGTTTGCCACCTGTTGGGACATGCTCTCTACATGTTTGACATCACACCAGCACTGAAACTCCTATATCACATTACTCATTTACATGGTAGGCAAAATATCTATTTGGCTTGACAGCAGCATCCTGGTACTGGAGATAACGATTTGTAGATTTACTGTACAGTTGCAATATATGATAGCTAGTATCACCTGCTGCTCATATTTTTGAGATACCTTCCTCTTCCAGGGCAATCTTAGATTTGGCACCGCTCAGTGACAAAAGTGGTGGACCTAGGTTCATTCATGCATTTTTGTGGTATACAGCAAGTGATGATATAATCAAGATATCCATCATCATGCAGGTTATTATTGATATGCCCTATCAATATACGAAGAGAAACAAATTATTCATTTTGGTGGCTGAATGAGATATTTGCACTTTGGGTATAGGTCGTGGAGTATTCTGGCTTGATTTCAAGCACATTCTTGCCCCCATCAGAGTTGTAACAGGCTCAAGAGCTCTTTGGCAAAATCTCCTTGCTCTGAACCTCTTTCACAGAGAAGAACAAACAGCTCTTTGTGGGAACACCACCCCCTACAGTTCATACCATTTTGATTAAGACATATTGTGTACTGGATCATTACTACGTTCAATTGTTCCAGTGCCAGAAAAGGACAGTTATTCAAGAAGGCTTACCACTACCACCATCTGCTCAGAGGAAATAGAGATGGGCAGCAAATACAACCTTAGCCAATCCAAGAACAAATTAAATCTCTTGATCTCGTCAGGTATTTCATGTTTGCAAAGGAAATGCAAGGAAAGTCAGCGATTGCATATTCTGCATTGATTCTTGTATAACATTGTCTATTTTTTTTTATTAGTCCTTTAAAGAAATTGGTTGAATCCAACTACAAGATGGACAGGATTCCTGTGTCAAATGTGGAGCTGGTCTGCTTCGGGTCAAGCTTTGCATTTTCTGGGTTGTTTTACTATTTGTATAGAAAGAAAAGAGCAACAGTGAAAGTATTAAAGGTAAGAGTCATTTGTTTCTTCTGGTACTTCATAAACACAAACTCTTGTGGCTCTTATTTTAACTTCTGTTGGGAGGGCAAGATTGTCAGTAATAGGTTTATAATAAAAGATAGAAAATGTTAGAGAAATTCAGAAGGTCTCACAGCATCTGTGGAGAAAGAAACAGAGTTAACATTTCAAGTCCCATCTGATTAGTTATCAGATTTTCAATGTTTGTGGTATTTTGCTTTTGTTTGCATTTATGATGGCTTGATATAGCTGAGGCAAATTCTTCATGTTCCAAGACATTTAAAAAAAAAAAACACTTTCTTGGCTAATTCCTTCTTAGTGAGGTGTGTTTCAGTTATGCTGCAGTCCACGGAATACACTAACAGAAACAGCTGTACTCTGTTCAGTGCATTCAATGAAGTTGGCATAGTTGAGACTAAGAATGAATCTGTCAATGGAGCAATGCAGATACCATTGATAATATTTTTCAACAAGTACCAAAATACAACTTTAATATCTGGTATCCCAAGCCTCCAATTTTGTCAATGTTCCTGCACAATGATTATCCCAATTGAATGTTGCATTTCAGGTTCCTGACCAGAGTTGAAATTGAATCTGTGCTTCGTAACATGTACTTTTGGATGAGATGTTAAAATGAGCCTCACAGGAGGATTTAAAGATCCTGTTTGCAGAAGGGCAGGGGCTATCTCTTGGTGACCTAACTGCTTTGTCCAATGGCACTAAAAACAGTATGCTATTTTGGTAATTGTGGAACTTTGCTGGACATAAATTGGCTGCAAGTTTACCATATGCTATAACAGTGATAGCATTTGGAAAAAAAATACTTAATTGGCTGAGAGTTGCTTTGATAAATGCTGAAACTTTGAAATCTGCAGATAAATGCCATCAGTACCTTTTTTATTATTTCTCCTTTCTTCTTATGGCAAAATTTGATGTTTTGTTTGTTTTAATGTTGACCATTACAGTATTTGCATGTGGGATTGTCATAATGGGATTCTGTGCAGCAATTTGTTATAAATTAACTCCTATCTTTTGTTGACTATAGTCTGGAATCAGAAGCTCAACTGGGGGTCACTAAAACAAGCAGTCTGAGCCATTGCTCAGGAATGGGGATGGAACTATTGGCATGGGTATGGTGTGTGTTTGCTGGCCCAAGATGGTTGCTTAAATCTTCCCAATGGTTAACCTGAGGAAACTGTTACTTATTTAATTCTCAAAGTCAGACTACAACATCTACTTACGGTGTCCCCAAGTGACAACACATAAATAAGATGAAATGAGAGTGAAGGATAAATCTTTGGGGAAACAACAGGTAAAGAGAATCCGTTGCTGAAGATTCTTGGTTATTAATAGGTGGGTGAAAGTGGAATGGAAAAAATCCCAGGGTCACTTGGCTGAACAATGGATTTAAAGGCAATGGAGAAAGAATATGTGGTTGATGATGTTAAAAGGTAAGTCACACTGGCAAGGTTAGATAATGGACAATATTGACTGTAATTTTTATTGGGAGCTATTCCTTTCTTGTACACCTCACTATGTTTATGCAGCAACAGGACAGTTGCAAACTGGTCATTTGAGATTGTCTGCGTGATGTTCCCTTCCATGAATAATTCCACTAGGCTTCATTATTCTCACCTTTACCTCAATTCCTCTTCCTTGCCTTGCCCATCTGCCCCTCCTGTATTTGGGATCACAAAACCTTTAACAAAAAGGATTTGACAAATGTGATATTCAGTTAATAGCGGAGAGGATTCAGAACTAGAATTAGTTTAATTAGAAGTGAAATCAGGAAACATGTTTTTACACAGAATTATGAAAAACTGAAACTTGCAGCCCAAGAGTGTGAATGATAGATCCATAGAAATTGATTGGAGTTCTATAAATTTTGCTGGATGAGGGTATCAAAGGATTTGTAGCAAAAGGAGCTCAATGGAGCTGAGGTACAGATCAACCATGATCTAAATGAATAACTGAACAAGTTCCAAGGATAGAGAGGCCTAGTCCTGTTCTTGTGTTCCCTATTATTTCACTTGTTTCTTTTTTAAAATTAGGAAGCCCCAAAATTCCAGATCAACAAGCAGTTGGTGGATTTTTTGAATGCCACTCCAGGAAAATGTGTGGAGTATGCTATTGTGGAAGGTGAGACTTACGAGTTTTATATTTGATGTAATGGGTTTTCAACTACCCACTGGCAAAATTAGTGACGTTAATCACCAGTGGTCAGTCTAGCCAGTAGCCTGAAAATTAATTCCAGTGTGTCTTTTGTATTTTTATTCCATTGCTTTTAAATGTTAAAAACATAATCATAAAAGCATTATTTAACGAGAAAAGAGGCTATTAACATTCCAGTTACAAAGAACAGGTGATGTTTTTGATCACTTAGATATAAAAAGCTGCTGACCTAAAGAAGCAAGTGTGAGTATAGTTAAAATCTGAGCATGTCCGAAGTGCTGAGGGATGGCTGAATACATTCCCAATAAAGAATGGTTGTGATTCAGGATCATTACGCATCATCCAAGTGCATTATCTTGACTGTTGGGAGGTGGAAATGGAGGCCTTTTAGGAGGTAAAGCATGATTATTTTACGGTAACAAGGTGTAGAGCTGGATGAACACAGCAGGTCAAGCAGCATCAGAGGAGCAGGAAAGCTGACGTTTCGGATCTAGACCCTTCTTCAGAAATGGGGGAGGGAAGGGGATTCTGAAATGGGGAGAGAGGGGGAGGCGGATAGAAAATGGATAGAGGAGAAGATAGGTGGAGAGGAGACAGACAGGTCAAAGAGGCGGAGATGGAGCCAGTAAAGGTGAGTGCAGGTGGGGAGTTGGGGAGGGGATAGGTCAGTCCAGGGAGGACGGACAGGTCAAGGGGGTGGGATGAGGCTAGTAGGTAGGAGATGGGATTGGGGCTTGAGGTGGGAGGAGGGGATAGGTGGGAGGAAGGACAGGTTAGGGAGATGGGGACAAGCTGGGCTGGTTTTGGGATGCGGTAGTGGGAGGAGAGATTTTGAAGCTTGTGAAGTCCACATTGATACTATTGGGCTGCAAGGTTCCCAAGCGGAATATGAGGTGCTGTTCCTGCAACCTTCGGGTGGCTTCGTTGTGGCACTGCAGGAGGACCAGGATGGACGTGTCGTCTGAGGAATGGGAGGGGGAGTTGAAATGGTTCGCAACTGGTTTAGTGCGAACCGAGCGTAGGTGTTCGGCAAAGCGGTCCCCAAGCCTCCGCTTGGTTTCCCCGATGTAGAGGAGGCCACAACGGGAACAGTGGATACAGTATACCACATTAGCAGATGTGCAGGTGAACAATTGCTTGATGTGGAAAGTCTTCTTGGGGCCTGGGATGGGGGTGAGTGGGGAGGTGTAGGGGCAGGTGTAGCACTTCCTGCGGTTGCAGGGAAAAGTGCCGGGTGTGGTGGGGCTGGAGGGGAGTGTGGAGTGGACAAGGGAGTCCCGGAAGGCGTGGTCCCTCCGGAAAGCAGATAATGGTGGGGAGGGAAAAATGTCTTTGGTGGTGGGGTCGGATTGCAGATGGCAGAAGTGTGGGAGGATGATGCGTTGGATCCGGAGGTTGGTGGGTTGGTACGTGAGGACGAGGGGGATTCTATTTTGGTTGTTATTGCGGGGAGGGGGAGTGAGGGGTGAGTTGCAGGAAATGCAGGAGACACGGTCAAGGGTGTTCTCGACCACTGAAGAGGGGAAGTTGCAGTCCTTGAAAAATGAGGACATCCGAGACGTTCGGGAGTGGAATGCCTCATCCTGGGAGCGGAGGTGAAGGAATTGGGAATAGGGGATGGCATTTTTTGCAGGAAGGTGGGTGGAAGGAGGTGTATTCTAGGTAGCTGTGGGAGTTGGTGGGCTTGAAATGGATATCGGTTTCCAGGTGGTTACCAGAGATGGAAACAGAGAGGTCCAGGAAGGAGAGAGAGGTATCAGAGATGGTCCAGGTGAACTTATGGTTGGGGTGGAAGGTGTTAGTGAAGTAGATGAACTGTTCGAGCTCCTCGTGGGAGCACGAGGCGGCGCCGATACAGTCATCAATGTAATGGAGGAAGAGGTGGCGTTTATGGCCAATGTAGCTGCAGAAGAGGGATTGTTCCACGTAACCTACAAAGAGGCAGGCATAGCTTGAGCCCATGCGGGTACCCATGGCCACCCTCTTTGTCTGTTGGAAGTGGGAGGAATTGAAAGAGAAGTTGTTGAGGGTGAGGACGAGATCTGCTAAGCGGATGAGGGTGTCAGTGGAGGGGGACTAGTCGGGCCTACGGGACAGGAAGAAGTGGAGGGCCTTTAGGCCATCTACATGGGGAATGCAAGTGTATAGGGACTGGACGTCCATGGTAAAGATGAGGTGTTGAGGACCAGGGAATTGGAAGTTTTGGAGGAGATGGAGGGCGTGGGTGGTGTCACGGATGTAGGTAGGGAGTTCCTGGACCAAGGGGGAGAAAATGGAGTCGAGATAGGTGGAGATAAGTTCGGTGCGGCAGGAGCAGACAGAGATAATGGGTTGACCAGGGCAGTCAGGTTTGTGGATTTTCATCATTCCCCAACCCCGCACCGCCCACTTCTATCTCCTTCCCAAAATCCACCAACCTGACTGCCCTGGTCGACCCATTGTCTCCGCCTGCTCCTGCCCCACCGAACTTATCTCCACCTATCTCGACTCCATTTTCTTCCCCCTTGGTCCAGGAACTCCCTACCTACATCCGTGACATCACCCACGCCCTCTACCTCCTCCAAAACTTCCAATTCCCTGGTCCTTAGCACCTCATCTTTACCACGGATGTCCAGTCCCTGTCCACCTGCATTCCCCATGCAGATGGCCTAAAGGCCCTCCGCTTCTTCCTGTCCCGCAGGCCCGACCAGTCCCCCTCCACTGACACCCTCATCCGCTTAGCCGAACTCGTCCTCACCCTCAACAACTTCTCTTTCAATTTCTCCCACTTCCTACAGACAAAGGGGGTGGCCATGGGTACCCGCATGGGCCCAAGCTATGCCTGCCTCTTTGTAGGTTACGTGGAACAATCCCTCTTCTGTACCTACACTGGCCCTAAACCCCACCTCTTCCTCTGTTACATTGATGACTGTATCGGCGCCGCCTCGTGCTCCCACGAGGAGCTCGAACAGTTCATCCACTTCACCAAAACCTTCCAGCCCAACCTTAAGTTCACTTGGACCATCTCTGATACCTCTCTCTCCTTCCTGGACACCTCTGTTTCCATCTCTGGTAACCACCTGGAAACCGATATCCACTTCAAGCCCACCAACTCCCACAGCTACCTAGAATACACCTCCTCCCACCCATCTTCCTGCAAAAAATGCCATCCCCTATTCCCAATTCCTTCTCCTTTGCCTCCGCCGCATCTGCTCCCAGAATGAGGCATTCCACTCCCGAACATCTCAGACGTTCTCGTTTTTCAAGGACCGCAACTTGCCCCCTCAGTGGTCGAGAACGTCCTCGACCGTGTCTCCTGCATTTCCCGCAACTCACCCCTCACACCCCCTCCCCGCAATAACAAC